GTGCAAAGTGCAGTAGCACCCTGCGCACTGCCTCCATCTCCAGTATATTGATGTGCGGAGATGGGTCTGACCAGAGCCCTCCCACGGAGCTCTGGCCCAGAACCCCTCCCCACCCCTCGAGAGAGGCGTCCGTAAACACTTCCACGTGTGATACGGCGCCTTTGAGGGGAACCCCGTCCCTCATCACACCCTGGGTGAGCCAGAAGCTGATGTCTGATCTCACCCTGGGGGGAACTACGAGCATGGTCGCTGCGTCCCGGGAGGGGTGAATCCTGAGACCGGAGAACCATCTCTGAAAACCTCTCATGTGGAGAAGGCCCAGACGTATAACTGCATGGGCCGCTGCCATCATCCCCAGGAGCGATCTGAGGCAACGAGCAGACACGCTGGGGGCAGTCAGCGCCCTGGTGGCCAGCTGTGAGAGGCTCTCCTGTCTGTCCCTGGACAGAGCCGCTCGGAACTCCACCGAGTCCAGCTGCAGACCGAGGTAGAGCGCGCGCTGGGCAGGCTGTAATCTGCTCTTCTCTCTGTTCACCACAAAACCCAGCTGTTGTATGTGAGACAGAACCCGGAGCGTGTGTTCCAGGGCCACCTCCCTGGACTGTGCCAGAATTAACCAATCGTCGATGTAGGTTAAAATTCTGACCCCTGCTCGTCTGAGCGGCATCAGGGCTGCCTCCACGCATTTCGAGAAGGTGCGGGGGGCCAGAGCGTACCCGAACGGGAGGCGGCAGTACTCGTAGCACCTTTCTCCCACAGCGAAGCGCAGAAAGCGTCTGTGCTCTGGCACTATCGCAACGTGGAAATAAGCGTCTGTCAGATCGATGGAGGACATCCAGTCTCCGGGTCTGACACATTCCAGTAGCTGCTTCGTAGTGAGCATGCGGAACGGCCGCCTGGAGATGCACTGGTTGAGTGCGCGCAGATCCAGAATAGGGCGCACCCCCCCTGTCTTTTTGGGGACCAGAAAGTAAGGGGAGTACAGCCCTCTGTGAGCGTCCTGTGGGTCGACCTGGACCGCAGCACCTCTTAGTAACAGGGAGGTTACCTCCTCTTGGAGAGCCTCCTCTGTCCCATGTCGCCTGGAGTTTGCCGCTCGAACGCCCTGGAACGGCGGTGGTCTCCTCGCGAACTGTAGGGCATAACCTCTGCGTAACGTCTTGTCCAACCATGCGTCTGAGAGGAGCCCCTGCTCTCTCCAGACCCGATAAAAAGACGTGAGAGGGGGCACCGGGCTCGTGAGACCTGACCTTAATTCCCCCCACTCTCCTGGTGCCTTCACAGGGGAGGGGGGATCCACGAAAGGGCCGAGGAAGTCTGTGTTGCCCCGTTGCCTTGGTAACCACAGCTTGCCTCTGTCTCTTTGCCCCGCTGCGCGATACAGAGGAGTCCTTACTCCTTGTTGCTTATAGCAGCGTGCTCTGCCTCTGTGCAGTGCGAGGCAGACGGACCCTGACCCGTTGCCTCGGCAACCACGGTGTCTCATTTCCCTGCTGCGCGAGACAGAGGAGTCCTTGCCCCTTGTTTCGCTTATAGCAGCGTGCTCTGCCTCTGTGCAGTGCGAGGCAGACGGACCCTGACCCGTTGCCTCGGCAACCACGGCTGCCTCGGTAACCACAGCTTTTCTCTTTGCCCTGCTGCGCGAGACGGAGGAGTCCTTGCCCCTTGTTTCGCTTATAGCAGCGTGCCTTGCCTCTCTGCAGTGCGAGGCAGACGGACCCTGACCCGTTGCCTCGGTAACCACAGCCTTTCTCTTTGCCCTGCTGCGCGAGACAGAGGAGTCCTTATTCCCTGTATCGCTTATAGCAGCGTGCCTTGCCTCTCTGCAGTGCGAGGCAGACGGACCCTGACCCGTTGCCTCGGTAACCCCAGCTTGCCTCTTACGCTTCAGACCCATGCCAAATGAGGAAGTGTGAGGAACAGTGGAGCTAGAAGGGACCGTAAATCCCCTGTTATAGGGACCCTCGCGTTTCAACACTCCCTGTAGAGATGACACGCTAGATCTGTTACCCGGAGCGGTGGTCTGAGACAGTCTCATCAAACCACCCTCTGTACCATGTGTCTGCTCTGTAGGTAAGACCACACTGCCCTCTACCTGTGACGGCATGTGGTGCAAGAGAACAGAGGACTGAGACAGTGGATAAGCTTGATTTTTTCTTTTATTGAAAAAGGCTTTTCCCCCGCGTCTCCCACCACCGAAAGGAGGAGGACGCTGGAAGGATCGGTCTCGTGGGCCTCCGGAGGTCCAATCCTGGCCCTTGGATCTTGCTGGAGCAGGCCGTGCCGAGCGTGCAGCGGTCTGGGGGAAGGCAGGGCGACGTAGCGGGGACCGGTCCCTCTCCCTCCCTCTCTCTCTGCTCTCGAAGAGGCGGCGCTGCTTCCGCGGCGCCAAATGAGGAGCCAACTTGGCGGAGTCCTTCGCCGCTCCGTCGAGTCTTTCCATCAGGCCTCTCATGTCTGGGCCGAAGAGAGACTCTGTGGAGATGGGGAGGTCCAGAAGCTGCTTCCTTTCCGCTTCCCGGACATCAGCAAGCCCCAGCCATAGGTGACGGGCACCGACCTGCGCCGCCGCCATAGTCCGACCACCGTCAATAGCGAGCGCCTGGATCATGCGGAGGGTCGCTGCCGTGGTGGTCTTGGCTCTGGTAAGGTCCTCGCCGCTCAGCGCCTCGCCAGCGGCGAGTGACCTGTCCAAGGCGCCGGTGATGAGCGCCATATTGCTCGCCAACGCAACGACCTGTGTCGCGTTGGCGTAGCACCGGTCCAGTACCGACATGGACACCCGGTCCTTGTCGGTGGGGAGGAGCGGTTTGCTGCCCGGCCACAGGGAGGATTTGGGGAGGAGCGCCAGCCTCACCGCATCCTCGACCTCCGGTACGCCTTTGGACCAGGACCAGTCCTGGACTTCACAGTAAGGACCGTACCCCAGGGCAGGCCTCTTAGCTGTGGAAGGCTTGGTCCAGTCGCGTGTAGCGTAGTGGAACACCGGCTCCATACGCGGACACAGCGTGGGCACCTGCCTCTTCCTCCCTCTCTGAGAAGACCCCACCGAGGTAAAGTCTTCCCTGGGTTGCACGGGTTGCGGGGGGAATGGAACCTCCATGGTCCTCGCCGCAGCCATGAAGAGGCGGGCATGTGATCGAGCGGGAACCGGTCCGGCTCGCACCAGGAGGAAGCCTCGTCGAGCGTGATGAAGGAACCCTGGTCCTCATCACGCTCCTCCTCCTCCACGACGCAGTCTCCCCACTCCCTGGGTGCGGGAGGCAGGTCTAGCGGCACGTACTCCACCTCGAGTTCGTCCTCCTGGGAGGAACCCGGGTGAGCCACCGCGGAGCCAACATACGCCATGCGGCGCTCTCTCTCCTCCCTGGGGAGAGAGAGGCACGCTTCGCAGTCAGCCTCGTCCCCCTGGTAGTGGGATACACCCAGGCAAAGGAAGCACAGACTGTGCCGGTCCTTGCGGGAGATCCTGGTCCTGCAGCTCCTGCACCGTCTTCGTCCGACGCCGGAGGGCGACGGGGTTCTCGGACGCGACGGGGAAGGAGACGACATCTTCAATCGGTGAGTTATTTTCTTCTCTCAGTGGCGCCAGAGTGAAAAGTGGTTGGTACGGGCCGTAGAGGGCTATTTATAGATGGGACTGGCATGTGATTGGAGCATTTAGTTCTCTCTGGCGGGAAGCTAGGTGCTTCTGGAGTATACCCATAGCGAAGCCTAAGGGGCGTTAGCACCATGATGTAGAACTGTTTATTGAGCGTGGCTAGCTCGGCTAGCTTAGCTAGCTTCTCTGCACAGACAGAAGTAACAGCTAGCTTTGAAGAGCCGTTTAATAAATTATAATTAAATATTTGAATATATAAACCCTAGGGATTAAAAGTTCTCTGAAATACTCAGACCAGCCCGTGTGGCACCAACAATAATGCCACATTCAAAGTCACTTAAATCACCTTTCTTCCTCATTCTGATGCTTGGTTTGAACTGCAGCAGATCGTCTTGACCATGTCTACATGCCTAAATGCATTGAGTTGCTGCCATGTGATTGGCTGATAAAGAATTTGCATTAAACTGGAGTTGGATTTTTAGAATAATCAATTAATTTGGTTTTTTTGCGGGGATAGATGTGTTTTTGCTGCTACTGGACACCTGAATATCTCCTACGGGGATCAATAAACTAACTAATCAACTAACTACATCAAATCTAATTAAAACCATCAATCAACACAAAGCAGCATCATAGCAGGGAAGGCACAGACACACGTGACACACAAACATGTACACACGTGACAAACACAGGTGACACACACACACATGACAAACATAGATGACAGACACACAGGTGACAGACACACACACAATCCACCTGATAATGCTGTTAGTTTGTCTGTTTTGAAAGAAAGATTCCATATGTTTTTTATTCTATTATGCTCCACCTGGAGAATCAGTGATATCACTTAAAGAGGATAACATACATAAAAGATCAAACACGTTATATCATTAGTAATTGGTTTATTTCCTCAAATAGATTTATTATAGACCAATGACAAATAAAGATGTCAGAAGTAAACAGTAGTTACGCTATAAATGACAGAAGATTGAGAACAATAGTTCCTGAATCTGGAAGTGTCATTGGCTCTAACCCCCCCCCCCCCCCCCCCCCCCCGGCCCGAGAGCCACTTCAGTCCTGGATCTACAACCTCAGTCCTGGAACTAAAGCCTCAGTCCAGGATCTACAGCCTCTATGGGCCTTCTTGAGGTTTCTGAGTTGTTCCTCATCGAGGCAGAGGATGAGGATCCAGGACATTATAGATACACAGATATAGATTTGTTGTCCTTCTTTGGACCAATGTCTTATTTGTATTCTTATTGATGCATGGATGGAATGGTCTGGGAACACTGCTGTTGTGATTTAGGGCTATACAAAAATAAGTTGAGTCCACAGTTTTAATGGTCACACACAGTTCATAAACATTGGTTTGAGAAAAAGAATGTAATGGAGGCTGTTACAGAGCACAAGGCTGAGGGAGAAGCTGGCGGCTCTCCTCACTCCGCGGGAAGAGCGAGTCTCGGAGGCGCACCACGTGACCTCGCACTCCTGCGCTCAGGGCCTCGTCCGGCAGGATCCTACGCACTGGTCTGTACACACGCCGACGCCTGCACACACAAGCAGTACTTCTAACGCACAAAATAATCCTCAAACATATGTGAGTTTTTCCACAAAAAACTAAAACTATTAATTTATAGATATCATAATTGCTGCCCACATGTGACACTGTGGCAGGGTAACAACAGGGGAGCAGACCCACATATGCTGGAAAATGAACAGTTCTGGAAGAGCATGTTGGAGAAGGAGGAAGCATAAAAGCAGTGCACAATGGCTGGTGGAGAATTCAGTCACCGCCACAGAGGCGGACATCCGAGAAAGAGTCTCAGGTATGAAAATCTGGACAGCACCTGGCTCTGATGTGGTCCATGCCTACAGGCTAAGGAAACTCACAGCCCTTCATGAGCGCCCGGGCTGGGACAAAGAAACCAGCTGCAGAGGGAGGAGAAGCACCCAGCATGGCAACAGAGGTTGGATTATGAAAACTGGTAATTCATACATGAATATAACCAGACTTCTCTAAGATGAGAAATCAGTTGGTTAGGTGTGTGAAGGTTAGAGTGCACTGACCTGTAGACCATAAACGCCACCAAAGCAAAAAGTGCAGTGAGGACAGCACTGGAGGAGATGACCACTGCTGCAATGTGGGGGCGCTGTGGCTCTGTGCAATACAAGGAAGGATCACTATAAATGCTGAGATGGTGAAAAGTCGGGTGAGGAAGGGGGAGGGGCAGATGGGGGTGCGGGTAGTGTGGATCGGGAGGTGGAGTCAGACCTGGCTCCTCCTGGGTCTTCAGGATGGTCACTGTGGTACTGGCCAGCCCCACACTGCTGCTGTCCGCCAGGCTGATGTTGACACAGTAAGTCCCAGGCCCGGGGAAGCTGCGGCGCAGGAGGACCATGCAGGGGGAGGTAGTGGGGGGCAGGTCTTCACACCGAACACTCTTCACCTCTGAGCAGCTCGAGTCGGAGATGATGGTGCATGCCGAGGTGGGGGTGCTGCAAGAGACAGTGTCCTTGAGAATAACTTACTTAAAAATGTCATCTTTTAGATGTCAAATCATTTCACATGTCAAACTTGTATGAATAAACACATCTTGATGCCGAGAACAGGGCCCTCCAACCTATGGCTCATAAGATAACAGTGCAACTTCTTGGTTAAAGTTAATAATGCCATATATTTCCATTACAATAATATTGTTTTTATAATGTAATTTACACAATACTAAGATCAATTCAGGGAAAACAAAACATGCAAAACATATTGAAAGGTCTTTCAAACACAGAACATGAAACAACATGAGAACCCATCTACGACAGCTAAGGCAAGCTCAACATTATATCCAAGAAATATGATCCTGATAGGACCATAATTAAATAATATAATAATACAAGTGCTCTTATAGAAGAAAATACAATACATACAATACAATTTATTCTTGTATAGCCCTAACCAACAAAAAAACCATTAACAAAACCATTGAAATCACCAACACAGATCAGAGAATCAACAGTTAAGACACAAAAAGAATATAGAACACATGTTGATAAATGTCCATACATGTTGTAGAATGTTAAAGTGTCCTGGATCATCATCACAGTCCTTCTTGTTAGACACTAGCTGCCCAACAGACCCTCCTACATCAGCAAGGAAAAACTCTAAGTACTTTAGAGGAGTGTTAATATTGATTAATGCAAAAGTTTTCATTGAGGACTTTTGGTGTGGACAACAACATTTTCTCCAAGGTTTCCGGTTTCTCATCACTAAAAACATGTACAATAGTTTAAGGCGCAAAAGTGTTTTGCTCTTAAGACAGAGTGTAATGAAGCTAATACTACTTTATTGCCATACAGTACGTTTGGGCAGAGGAGACAGTGACAGTGTGACAGATCAGGGCAATCCAACAGACTGGCCACACCCCCCTCTGGTTTCTGAAGAAGTGATATTAGACCATAAAACAATCTGCTGTATTTACAACACAACTGTTATTTGTTACACGCTGTCCCATAAAAATAAACAAACACATTATTGTGAATGAAGCAAAATCAACAGGTGTGTGTTGGGTGAAGGAACAGTGTAGAAGCCTCACCTGCCCAGACACTGCACGATGAAGCTGAAATCTGTCTTGGTCTCGCGAGCTGTTGTCACATCAACTATCTTGCTGCTGGGCCAGGTCCTTACTGCTGGCTTCGGCTCTGCTTCATCACATGGACAAAAGTTACCATGCTTTTTGATAAATCAATAAATGTATGATGGATATAAGTGTGTATGACGACAGAAGGCCCTCACCAATGATGCTGACGTTGGTGCTGAAGCTGCCGTGGACATAGCGGAAGCACTGGTTGGTGTTGGACGGTTGTCTGTGGAGCCAGGGCCCTGTGGTGAAGGGGCCCTCAGAAGGGAGAGGCTCTGTGGAGAAGAGCCCAGAGGTGGAGGCAGAGGAGGAAGAGGTGGGAGGCTGAGAGGGAGGAGAGCTGCTGCCTGTCACTGCAAACAAACAGACAGCATTAGCATCATCTGAAGAGGAGCTGAGTTGCACAGGAGAAACTGTCATCAGTCATACAAAAGGAGTTTGTATGGATGGCAACCAGCCGAGTGGTGGGATGGGGCATTCGTTTGGGGTGCTTCCTGGGGGCATGTTCCGGGCATTCCCCACTGGGAGGAGGTCTTGGGAAAGACTAAAAACAAGCTGAAGGGTTAGGATCCTCAATTTGCCTGGGAACCATGATCTCAGAGTCTGAAAGAGGTGTCATGGTTCGGTTTATTTTGTTCTGTCTCTCCCATTCTGTTTTCTTTCCAGAGCATGTGTGAGACAGGGGGCGTGGCCGGTCTCTGCTGGGCTGCTGACGACACACCAGCATCCACTCACTCCACTCACCTCTGTATAAAACCCTGGTCTGCTCATCACTCCTCTGCCAGATCATTCCGTCATATAGGTAGTGCTATGCTGTTTCTTCTTCACTTACCTGTTTTTTGGATTACACAACTTACCTGTTGAAATTTCCAGATCCTGTGGTCGTTCAGTCCTGGTCTCTTCGCTCTGCTCCCTGTCTCCACTGCTTCTTCCTTCTTGAGTATTTTTGTTTAATTAAAGACTCTGTTAAACTGCTTTGGGGTTTTGAACTCACCCCTAACAAGAGGTGGTCTTAGTCTCATAGGCGGTCTTTTTCCTTATAAGTTAATGTTGTACATTTTCCATTTTATTGACCTTAGGAGGGACAGATGATAAACCGAAGATATAGCAACCATGTCTCATAAAAGTACAATATTTCAGATTTTTCTGAGATTTGGATGGATCTGCAACAGAGCGACACTAATGCACAGCTTCTCCCAGGAGCTTCTGAAGATCAAAGGTTAGCTACAAGTGAACTCTGCCGGAGTGACGATTTTCTGGTCCCACTCCGGTTGACTCAGGAAGCAAACACCTCAGTCAATAAGAAGCACAGAGATATCTGTAGTTTACTCAGCAGCTGAGGATGGAGGGCTGTGTGTGTGTGTACAGACTTATGCATTGAGTATGTACCAAAACAATGTGTGTGTGTACACATGTACACTGTTTGTATGTATGTATATGTACTGTCTCTACATACAAACACACTGTGTACAACAGTGTGGACATTACCGTGAGTGGGGTCAGTCCTGGCTGTGAGGGCGTGGGTCCCTGTGTGCACTGTAGATCCTTCTGGAATGTTCAAAAAAGTCAATGAGCCGTGGTTGTTTGTGCTCTGCCACATGGTGCTCTGTACACCAGCTTCTGCATTCATTGTTTGCAATAAACTCAGTGTCTCTTCGTAAAGTGGAGCCCCAAGCATAATTTATTATTTGTGAATAATAATAGACCACGACATGCCATGTTCTATTCTAAATCACATTTTGAAAAGATTCAGCAGAACGGTTTCTGAGCGAAGAGGGCCTCCTACCTGGATGGGGGGTGGGTGGTGCTGTGGGCATAGGGCTTGGACACACGATGGGGAAGGCTGCCTCCACCACCAGCTTCACATTGCGCCTCCCTGGGGTGCTGTAAGTGTGGGTGATGGTGTCCCGGTGGGTTACCAGCTGGTTACCATCTCTGAAGTCCCACAGGAAGTCCACAGAGGCGGCACTCTTCAGGTATTTGCTGGGGTCGTGCAGTTGAACCTGCAGCAGAAGCTCCTCCCCTCGGAAGAACACACCGTCCGACATGTTTGTGGCGGACTTCTGGGACAGACTCACGGTCACAGGAATTTTATCTGCAGAGACATGGCAGCGTGCAGCAACAGCTCCAAAATCAAGCCAACCAAACTGTTCTAAATCTCCTTAGATCATTGCAGATCATTTGAAAATCCTTGACAAAAAGCCTCAGTCTTACCCCCACAGATTATCAAAGCTCAATATTTATATTTGTAAAATATGAGGAATACTTGACAAATATAAGATATTGAGCTTCAATAATCTGATTGGGCACTCTTATAACAGCCTGGTATATACAATTTTAGATGATGCTTCCCCACCTCCTTGTTTTTTCTACAACCGCACGCTTAAGTACCAAGCAGAGTTGCAAGGATGTATCCAGGGAAGACTTGCATTTTCTCAATCTGCCTTTACCTGCACTGCCAAGAATGCTTCCAGACAATCTAAAGAACATGGCAAGTTTTCACTATTTTTCTTGGGCTTTGAAGGACTTGCTCTTGCAACAAGAGTCCTGCAAACCCTGGCAGTACCAGACAGGTATTTAGCCATGAGATGATACCCTCATGGGTACGTCCGATTTCTGCCAGACAACGTACCAGAATGTTATCTTGCTTACAGTTACTGTTATCTTACAGTTACTCTACCATTGGGTGTAATGGCTGTTAGACAATACCCTCGTGGGTACATCTGAACTGCACTGCACAGTTTACTTTTGAATGCGCTGAAAAACAGCAGCAGGTCCTGAGTAGCTCTGAAAGAGTTGTTGTTTTGTGCTTTATACATTTTATTTATCTTGCTTTTTTCTACCTAAGATGTTTCTGCAGTACAGTGTTCACCTGACATGACAATATTACATATTGCAACTTTAACTTTACAGGAATCATGGGGCTTTTAGGAGCACTATGGAAATTCAATTATTTTTGCTGCTGCAGCTGATCAGGTGTGATAATCAAATGCCCAAACTAAACGTCGTGATGTGTGATTGGCTGTACTAACCTTGAGTCAAATTGACCTGCCACAGTGATTAAAAAAATGCCGAAATAATATTATTTCGAGCAGATTTCTATAATCTTTCCTAAAAAAAATTGCTGATCCTTCAGACCCTGATCATTTAGACCCTACATTTACAGTATTTTTAAAGAGATGAGACAAATTAATTATGAGCGCCTTTGAAAGCATCAAAAGTTTGAGAGGTATCTCCGTGTGGCTCACATGGACCTGACAAAAACTCCTCAGACTCATTTGATATTGGGGTTTTCATTCTTCTCCATATTCTGATGCTTTGTAAACACACTCATAGAGGAGAGACAGCAGGAGTGTTGCCCCTGGATAGGAGCTCACAGAGCACTGAGGGTTCAAGATTGAGTCACCTGTGATGTGGTAGACCATGGTGTCGCGGACCATGGGGCTGTACTTTCTCCTCTCTCTCTGGCGATACACCAGCACCTCCATTACCTCGGCCCCCAGTGGGAACCAGCTGGTGTTCAGGCTTAGGCTGGATGAGTGACCGTCACATGTCTCATAGTACTGACCTACACACACAGTTAGTGAGAGTTGGCATCAACAAAGGAGCACATGATTCAGACAGAAATGATAAATTACATATAAATGTTATTGAAGTGATTGTAGCTGCAGGTCATGAACCCTGTGAAAGAAAGGGGTGAAGCGGAGGGCATGGAACATGATGCTTTCAGACTGGAGCAGGCTTTTATCTACTCAGCATGTTATTTTGTGTAAATATACGGACTACTTTGCAAAGGTATTGCTGGTGAACATTGTCTAACCTTTGTGTCTTGTTGTGTGCATGTTTTCTAATAAGAGGCTTACCCCTGGTGTGCCACACATACACATAGTTCTTGTGTCTCCAGTCGTTGCTTTGAGGAAAGGGCTTGCCGTCAGGGAAAACGTTACATTGGTTGGTGTCCTGGCACTTCCCGAACCCATAATCCTCCAACCAGGAAGACCAGCTGTAGACATAACCAGAGCGCAGCTGCCCATTGGCTGCACACACAAGTCAGTGGTTAGAGATAAAGGTCACCAGGAAACAACACTTGCCCTGGATCCTAAAGGCATGTGCTGTATCTTTCAGATCCTGCTCTTCCATATGTATCTCCATACGCATCAAAATGAAGAGATCCTTTATTTGTCTCACAGTGGGGACATTTAAGACACAATGAGAAACATATCCGTGCAGCAGATAAAGTGGATATTTAATTATCCCTAACACAAGTGAGGAATTTGGCAGACATACCCTTCAAACCCATATTATTCAGAAAAAATGGCAGCCATTTTTAAGATGGCGGCCCTCTGGTAAGATGCATCTGGTGAGCATTTATTGGTATGTAGATTGTATGTATATCTTAATGTTCTTAATGTCTTTATTATCATATATTGTCCAGGTATAAATGTCCTTCCTGTAAATAGTGTAGTTTGCAGCCATGAGGCAGTATACTAATGAGTCAAAGCAAAGGAAGGTTTCTCACCCATCATCTGTACTTCTTAGCAGGGGATAGCAGGGGGAAATCTGCTAAGAAGTACAGATGATGGGTGAGAAACCTTCCTTCCTTTACTTTGACTAATCCCTGTACAACTAAGAATTTACACAAACTATACTAATGAGTGTTAAATGCATCGTTGTTGTTTAGTTAGTATTTGTGTGGCTTCAAACACATATCCACATGTTCACTGAGAACATTTACACTAGTTTTTGAACAAAGTCATTTCATTCTTTCTAGCCTAACCCACTAGAATACTGAGATTTTGGACTAAACCAGAGACCGTTACCATAGCGACAAACACTATATAGCACAGGTGTCAAAGTCAAAGCCCATGGCGAGACCATTTCCAGTGGCCCTTGAGATGATTTTAAATTATTATATTAAATGGCATTAATGGTAATAGGCGACAATTGAATGTTATCCATTGCTGAGAAAACAACCATAAAATGTAGTTCCAAAAGAAATGTTAAGCAAACATGTAATTAGAAGTTAGTATTATAATGTTATGTTTTTTACGAGCCTTCAATTACATTTCTTCTTAAAGATATGAAGGAGGATTTCCCAATTTTGTCATAAGAGCCGCCCTCTCCACTTTTTGAACAAAACTTTCTGGTCTTAATAGACGAGCACAAATCACCAGAATTATTGACAACTGGGAGGACCAATAGTCTTGATGATCCACCCAGAAGGAGAAAATCTTCCTATACACCTCAATATTGGGTCCAGTTTTGGTTCAGTCCACTGGAACTGCACTAATTCTAATCAGAAAAGAATGTCCAATATAACTAATGTGAAACAAGTCATTTATTTAGATACCTTCATATTCCCAAAATTTTTTATAAATGAAATCCACTCGTTTTTCCGGCCCCTGACCAGCCCTTCAACCAAAATTTAAACTATTTTAACAAATAAAAAACTGAAAAGTGGGGCGTGCAATATTATACGGCCCCCTTGCGCTAATACTTTGTAGCGCCACCTTTTGCTGCAATTACAGCTGCAAGTCGCTTGGGGTATGTCTCTATCAGTTTTGCACATCGAGAGACTGGAATTCTTTCCCATGCTTCCTTGCAAAACAGCTGGAGCTCAGTGAGGTTGGATGGAGAGCGTTTGTGAACAGCAGTCTTCAACTCTTTCCACAGATTCTCGATTGGATTCAGGTCTGGACTTTGACTTGGCCATTCTAACACCTGGATAAGTCTTTTTGTGAACCATTCCATTGTAGATTTGGCTTTATGTTTTGGATCATTGTCCTGTTGGAAGATAAATCTTCGTCCCAGTCTCAGGTCTTTTGCAGACTCCAACAGGTTTTCTTCCAGAATGGTCCTGTATTTGGCTCCATCCATCTTCCCATCAATTTTATCCATCTTCCCTGTCCCTGCTGAAGAAAAGCAGGCCCAAACCATGATGCTGCCACCACCATGTTTGACAGTGGGAATGGTGTGTTCAGGGTGATGAGCTGTGTTGCTTTTACGCCAAACATATCGTTTTGCATTGTGGCCAAAAAGTTTGATTTTGGTTTCATCTGACCAGAGCACCTTCTTCCACATGTTTGGTGTGTCTCCCAGGTGGCTTGTGGCAAACTTTAAACGAGACTTTTATGGATATCTTTGAGAAATGGCTTTCTTCTTGCCAATCTTTCAAAAAGGCCAGATTTGTGCAGTGCACGACTGATTGTTGTCCTATGGACAGACTCTCCCACCTCAGCTGTAGTTATCTGCAGTTCATCCATAGTGATCATGGGCCTCTTGGCTGCATCTCTGATCAGTCTTCTCCTTGTTTGAGATGAAAGTTTGGAGGGACGGCCGGGTCTTGGTAGATTTGCAGTGGTCTGATACTCCTTCCATTTCAATATAACTGCTTGCACAGTGCTCCTTGAGATATTTAAAGCTTGGGAAATCTTTTTGTATCCAAATCCAGCTTTAAACTTCTCCACAACAGTATCTCGGACCTGCCTGGTGTGTTCCTTTGTCTTCATGGTTCTCTCTGCGTTTTAAACAGAACCCTGAGACTATCAAAGAGCAGGTGCATTTATACGGAGACTTGATTACACACAGGTGCATTCTATTTATCATCATCAGTCATTTAGGACAACATTGGATCATTCAAAGATCCTCACTGAACTTTTGGACTGAGTTTGCTGCACTGAAAGTAAAGGGGCCGAATAATATTGCACGCCCCACTTTTCAATTTTTTATTTGTTAAAAAAGTTTAAATTATCCAATACATTTCGTTCCACTTCACGATTGTGTCCCACTTGTTGTTGATTCATGACAAAAAATTAAAATTTTATTTTATTTATTTTGAAGCCTGAAATGTGGCGACATGTTGAAAGGTTCAAGGGGGCCGAATACTTTCGCAAGGCACTGTAACTTATATTATTTGGACTTTACAGTCATGTGCTGTAAAACTGTGGCTCATTTAAGATACATCCAGCAGTCTGGAACAGAACAGAGTTTATTGGAGCAGAGTCACTTTTCTTTAGACTAAACTAAAGTTCATTCTGTGTTTATGAAAACAGTGTTACAGCTCCTGTGTGTGTGTGTGTGTGTGTGTCACCAAAATCCCTGGTTGATTTGTTTATGAGTAGTTAATGAAATGCCTTTGATAGCTTTGTGCTTTGACAAAAATGTTTAATAACAAACAGATCCAAAAGCATTATTTAACACGTGTTGTGTTGATGTTCTATGACATTCTTTGTAACGCGTTACGCTAATGAAACTTCTGTGTGTTAACTATTGACATTTTTGTATTGGATTGTAGAGCCATTTATTTTTCGATCCGAGGCAATGTTACTTTTAGTGATGAGCAAACAACAACCCGGAGTGTGTTGGGTGTTGTGTTTCGTTCAGTCCAAAATGCTGCGACTCAGTTACGGCTGTGTTTCTTGCAATGGGACGTTTTATTGAGATTCGCCTCTTGGTTCTATACTCTTTGGTGTGACCTCTGTGCAGTGATTGTGGCCTCGATGTGGTGGGTGTGGCCTCTGTACAGTGGGCGTGGCCTTTGCTCCAGGCACCTGAGGCCTCCAGCTCCGTACCGTCCTCGCAGTGATCGTCCCACAGCAGGTCCCCGTCGCTGCTCTCTGTCTGACAGGGTGGGAATTGCAGCTGAGCCGTGAAAGTTATAGAGGAGCCGTTCAGGGCCGGGCTGTCGCTGGTCAGCACCACCTTGGTTTTTCCTGTCACAAGAAACACTAAGTACAGTCTATCCCATTTATAATCACAGTCAATACTATTGATGGACATTAGCACACACATTATTATTTATACATTGGCATTATTTATTCTAAGTTAGAAAACCAGTGCCCACAGGTCCCACCTTTGTTCCTCTGCAGCTGATTGGGTACAGCCTCCAGTGGCGGGTAAAGGCTGTCGTCCCAGGGCGTGCTGTCGGGGTCCCAGCCGGGGATTGGGGGTATGGGGAAGGGGAACCAGCCTGAAGGGGAGTGCTTGTGCTGGAACATGTCCCCGTACGCTGCAACACACCAGACCGAAGAAAAGTTATAGGGATCTCCCAGTCACATGACCCATAGCCGCGTGTCAGCCATTTTGACGGAATCCGTCCACCGACTCCGCAGCAATGGAGCTAAGCTAGCTAGTTCAAAAACTCTCTGGAACTACATGAAAACTGAACAAAGAATTTTGAACATCAGAGGTGAGTTACTCATTAATATACCGAACATAAATCCATAATTAGATCCTCTTCAAATGTGTCCTAAAATGTTTGTTTCATGTTAATGGTTACTTCTGGGTTTATCACGATCGCTTCTTGTTACATTGAAACAGTATTTTTGTCATGAAAACATGAACAAATAATTCTGAAAACTTCTGTGCATTTGTGTTAAGGATGTATATGTATATTGTATTCTCTGATTAACATTTAATGGTGTTGATTGATTGGTATTTGTTTGAGAGTGGCTAGCTCGGCTAGCTTCTCTGCACAGTAGTAACAGGCACTGAAAGCTCGTTGTACTTTTATTTTTGTCATGAAAACATGAACAAATAATTCTGAAAACCTCCATGCATCCAGTATAAAGATATTCCTTTTGTCTGATCATGTATCTGGTCGCATCCAACTGCACAGCATCGCTCCGGCGTGATAGGAAAATTTTGCAACGACCTGTAGGATCACCACCGGTTTTGCATTTCTATACCGTCAAAATGGCTGCTCAAAAATTTTACATCAAGGCTGTCAGAGCAAGAGGACTTCCTGGAAAGACACACAAAAACAACCAAGACAAGAGCTAAACCAGGAACAAATGAGGACTAAACAAGGGTTAAACCAAGACTAAATCCGGGCTGAGAACGGGAGACACGGTGCTTTTGAATATTTGCTTCAAGCCTGAGTTCTCATTCTCCCGTGACTGTTAACATGTGCTGCTAATATAATACATCCATGGGGCTGTGAGAGGCAGCGGAGGTGAATTTATCCGAAAAAGATCTACAAAACACATATGTTTTTTTGGCTGGCTTAACCAATGAGCATATACAGAAGAAAGCCATCGCTCCATTAGCAGGAAGATCCTTTGGATGCATGATCCTGTTAACGTAACCTTTTTCCTGACTAATATGTATTGGAATGCTAAATAACGTCCTGAAGGGAGTGAGCAGAGAGCACTGCTGCATGAGGATACCACACTGATGAGGACTAATCAGAGTCATGGGACTCTGACTATGGTAAATGACCACATGTATACAGGCACTAGCCTTGTACTGACCATTACTGACCATTACTGACCATCACAGGCCCTCACCAGCCCAGGGCTGCCACAATTGCAACTACTACTGGGATCCATTCTTTTCCTGACTATATCGTTTACATATTCACAATTTTGAGTAAAACAACACATATTGACATACAGTAAGTGTTCACTTTTGAACCTTAGTCCTAAGTAGCTCTAAAACAGGCAGACTTTATAATTGTTATTTTTATTGCCTTTTTTCTACCTGAGATGTTGCTGCAGTACAGTGAGGATTCATGGTCCAAAAAAAAAAAACTTATCAGGCAGAAATCCCACTGGAGGAATGCTAACTTTTTGAAAATGCTTACAAAGCATTCATTATCTCACTTTGGACGAGAGCAGAGAATATGGTCCGAACCAAGAGGCTACGCCATCTCTGCTGCTGTAACCTAAAGTGCTGTTGCATTTTAATACTATTGCTATTGCTTTTAGAATTATATTTGTTTGTTTTGTTTGTATGTATGGATGTGTTTCTGCTGCTACTGCACCCCTGAATCTATTGACTGTATATTCAAAATCGACTGTAATACCTGATGGACATGAAACAGTCTAAGCACATGCCTTTACAGTCAGAGTACCTTTTAAAATGGTCCATACATATTATAAATACATTATTCTCCAGGGTGTCCTACTGATATTTTGTTTTTACTTGAACTCGTTATTTTAAAGAACAATTATTCAGAATAATTTTGGTGCTGGAAAATTATCAAGGGATCATTTTAGTGATGGGCGAATGAATCCCTGTGACACACTGAGGCTCTCCTGCCAGACTGTTTCAAATGGGCTGACGCCTTTGAGCTCAGAATAGCTTGAAACACTAACATCCAGTGGAACAAACATAATAGACACTGCAAAGCAATTGGCAAAAATGTCCAGGCTCCTTATTCGAAGTGCACAGCCTATACACGACAATGGACAACAATGTATTTCTAGCTCCCAATCAGTAGGGGGCAGTCGAACTTCAACAACACCCTCTACAGGCCACTGCAAACAGGTTTAACAGTAGCAGCAAAGATGGAAACTGAGACTATAGCTTTGCGTGGTTTTCTTTGGACAGATTCATGAGTAGAATTCTCCTCCATGAAAGGCTCAAAGCACACGTAGCATTAGTTGATTCGCCGCCATTGCTGTTTACCTTTGTTCTCGGCTACTGCGCATGTCTAAATGTACGTGCAGGGAAGAGGTGATGTCATCGCAGACAAATAATTCACACCTTTTTCTTTGCACAGCTATGAAACAACCCCCCGCCGCGCAGCATATAGTGAGTGTCAATTAAAGTTTCTGGACTTTATAAGGTTATAACTCAAAAACTGAATTTTCTACCATAGATTGGAAAAAAGATTTCAAAAACAGACATATAAAAGAGATAGTGTGGATAAAATTAAAGGGAAAGATTGAGGGATACAAATTTGTCAAGCCTCTGATTTTATCATTCTACTGTGACGCCAGTTAGATAGAAAAATATAAGATCCTCAGTCTGAAAACAAAGCAGATGAAATCCCACAAAATTAACATGGCTAAGACACATATGTAAATCCTTAAAAATGTAAATGACCCTTGAAAAATGTGTAACAAACATGATGGTTTCCGTCAATTTTGTTCTAAAAAACAAACTTGAGAAAAATAATTGATGGTCTAGTTTCACATTTAATTGGTTTACTATATGAAAATAATCACTTTTTTTTCTTAATCAGTTGTGGACATCTGAAAATATGTGATAAACTTCCTTGTAGCTCATTCCGTCAAAACATCACGTCCGTTACGAAAATTAAATAGAGCCGCTATAGGAAACTTGACTAATTTATTAAACAGATATCTTCTAGCATCAAAGGTATTTGGAACATTAAAAAAATTACATCTTCTGAATATTAAAATATAATTTTTGGCCTTTTTCTGTCACACTTTTGTACCCTTTAGTGTGAACAAGCTGTTTTGTTCTGTTCCACTCTGGAGGCTGTTTCTCAACGTTTCATGTAAACGAAAGGCCAAGCCAACATTAACGTTTTTCTGTCGCAGCTTCCTTGTACAAAAAGAACATTAATTTCTGCAGCTTCTCAAGAGCAGAAGTAGATTCATTGTTCCAAATGTGGTTTCAATTTCATGCCGTTGGTCTGTGGAGGTGGTCTGCTCGTCAAGTGGGTAATGACTGTGGCTAACTTGCCAGCTGCTAGCTTTAACCATCCGGAAAATATGAACTAATATTTTTACAAAGGTTTTATAGCACTTGCTTAAAACGTTTTCATTACTCAAATGACAGACAAACAACATAGGAAATCCATATAAAGATTGTATACTCCAAATTATACATGGGAAAACATGTTTAAAGATTTTATAAAAAAGAATGTAATATTTCTTTGAATATCATAGATTATGCTTTGACAATCAAATCCAACACAAAGTTCATAGTCATGTTTCATACACTGAATTGTATATGGGAAAAGTATGTAGAAAAGAAATAGAAGAATTGTGTCAGGTTTGTTCACACTTTATAACAAACACTTGAGAGAAAACACAAAATCTAAAGTTAGGCCTGTATTCTGTAATAAGTATGTGACGGGAAAATGTACTGAATACTCTGTGCTGTTCTCAGTTCTACAAATCGCAATAACATCCTGATATAAACGACAGGAAATGTACTTGTAGTACTGCAAATACTACAAAGGTTGAAACACCAATAGTAATGTGACGACTCATCATTATGAAGATCATACAAGTGAAACAACTACTATACACACACCCTTTTTTAACTTTTACACCTTTACCTTTCTCTATGTATGACATACAGATTTGATCCTAGTTATATATTGTAAAACTGCAAATTATTCAAAGACTGTATACTATTTTTATATTAACAACATAAAACACTTTTTTTTGCCATATATGAATGATGTGAAAAAGGTGTCACTCAAAGGCAATAATCATACAAACACCATACGAAAGTTATATGAAACAAGATGTGACATTTTATATGTTTTATGTGCAACATTTCCATACAGGACAGCTGGTCTATTGGGTTGATAACATATATCTAATAGTTTGCTATGGGATATCTACGAAATGGATTGTAATTTGTCCATGCAGAATAAGAAGATTCTACATACGTCAATGAGTTAGTCTTATGAACATTTCAGGGGATTAATTAAGATTTAAGATTAAGAGTTCCTTTATTCGTCCCACAGTGGGGAAATTTCGATGTTGCAGCACACATACAGGACAGTAGTACGAGCACACAGGGAGCACACAATATATACAAAATACGTAGTAGCTATGTTTCTTAACTAGCATAACTGGCTGTAGATGCTGGAAAGGCTTCAATACCAGTCAAAAAATATATACATGTAGTAGTGCAGAGTTATGTACTGTACATATAGTGCAGGATAATAAGTAGATAAGTAAAGTGACATTGTTCAGTGGATATTTTCAAGTTGCTGTATTGTGGTAAAGAAATGTATATAGAACTTTTCTTCAAAAATGCTTGTTGCAAATAATTATTGATGTATATGCCCGTTAATCGGTTCATAAACATTATTCAGAAATATTGATGCATCATTTAAACTGTGCCTATCCATTGAAAGCTATCTAACCAAGGAGGAGTTGAAACGCTCTGCTCCAAACACTTGTCTGATCACTCCTATCTCACACCAGGACATAACCAAGGTAACTCTGCCATTCAGTTGAAATATATAGTAGTAGAAAGTAGTTATATGCTTTGTAATGAAGGACAGAAAGCATGAAAGCAGCACTTACTCTTGTGTCCCTGGGTGTGATGCAGCAGGCAGGGCAGCAGCAGGCAGCAGAGAAGGCTCCACATGTTTGGAGGTTGAGGACAGATCTGAAGGCTGTGCTGGGTCAGACGGATCACTTAATGTGGGGCCTCAGTGCACATGTGACAGGCTAACAAGACACAGCGCTCTCCTCATTATGCTCTGGACACAACAGGACAGACTCTTCTACTGCGCCTTTATATGCCCCAATATACTCATGATGTCATTCCCTTTTGCTACTATATGTAGATATACTCAAAGATATAATTAAAGTGGCTAGTTGTTTAGACTGGTCTGCATTCACCACTGCTTCACTCTGTTTAGAGCAGGGGTGTCAAACTCATTTTGGTCCGGGGGCCGAATAGAACCTAATCTGATCTCAAGTGGGCCGGACAAGAAGATGCTCTACAAAAATACCCAAAAACGGTACAAAGTCCAACTTTTTGTGCACAGAAACACATTTATATAAAACTTCCTTTAAAACACTGTCCTTTAATACTCAGTCAGTTTTAACGGTAAATCTGTTACAAACTTAAATGTAACAGTGAGTTTTTCATAGTGCAAATAATGTATTTCACAATATTTATATTAATAGATGTATGTTAGCTTTGTTTTAAGGCTCATTACAGAGAAAACTTAGAAAAAAGCACTTTAACACAGCAAGTCCGGCCACAGCTCTCACCCGTCCAGGGCCGCCAATCACACAGCTCGGCCAGCCTCTTGCCAACCCACTGACAGCAAAGCGGGCAGTTTAAAAGCAGCCACTTCCTGAAAATCAGCGCTTCCTGGGGCTATTAACACCCACCGCCTCCCCAGCGCCTCCTCAAGCTCCTGGTTCCTGCTCTGGCTCCTGCCCTGGCTCCTGCTCTGGCTCCTGCTCTGGCTCCTGCTCCGCCTACGCCCCATTCACAACATGATTCGAGCCACCACCAGAGGCTTGACCCTACAGCTGCAAATGATCTCCCCTCTGCAAGTGTCACTGCAGGGGTCAATGCGCCAAACAAATACATCTTTTAAATAATACACTAAGGACAATATTTTCAAGATAGCAAATATTGTGCTGCACAGAATGTGTTTAGGATTTGGCCTTCAAGCCCGGCAGGGCACTGCACAATTGCATAAGGGAAAATGAAAAAAGATTATGAGATGAAATCCCCCAAAAGGTAGGTGCCGGCACCTTGGAAGTTGCTTGCCAGGGAATAAGGCCGTGAAAAAAAAAAGATTACCTGAAGATAGTTGATTTATGGCCACAGCGAAGGCCTGTGGGAATGTCGTGCGGCTGCTGATGAAGTAGGCAATTATTTGTGCTGCGGGACAGTGACGTAAGCAGATACAACAGTTCATCACAGGAGTATCTGAATCGTTAGTGTCCCTAAATGTCCTGGATCATCACCACTGTCCTTTATGTTAGACCCATAGGGGGCCGACAGACCCTCCTGCATTGGCAAGGAAAATCTCAAAAAACCCAGAGGGAAAAAAGGAGAAACCTTGAGGAGACCCACATTGAGAAAGGGATCCGCTCCACACGGATGGACGGGCTATAGATCCAGGACTAATGAAATATATAGGCTACATGCAATACGTAGAACTACTGTATATGAACCACCAGGTACTGATTTGATTAAAGGGCAAAGCAGTGTTGAGAGATACTTTTAACCCCCAAAGAAGAGGGTAGGGACGAGGCAGTGCAGTCTGCGTCCGACCGAGCCCAGCCAGATGGCCGCGCTCTGGTCCCGCCAAACGTTGTAAGAGGAGGCGCGAAGCCGCACTACAAAGAAGAGGAGAAAATGAATGCGCCTCATGTCGCATGGTCGCCGCCGTGGTTGCCGTCGCAGAAGATCGCCGGCGTGGTCGCTGTCGAAGCAGACCGCCGGTGTGGTCGCCGTCGCAGCAGACCGCCGGCGTGGTCGCCCGTGGTAGCAACCTCCGGCGTGATTGCCGTCGCAGCACCACAGGCGTAGTCGGGGGAAATGCCGCCGACGTGGCAAAGAGCGTGCGCCGTGGCAACCAGGAGAGCGGGCCACTGACGAAGAGGGCCACCGCGTGCTACCGTTGAAGTGTACCATAAGCCCCAGTGTTATCGTCATCGCAGCCCCGTCGGTGCTGTCGAGCGCAGTGCTGAAGCGGTCTACCGACAAAGCAGTGTTGGATACAGTGAAGGAGTGAGTCCACAGGTCCATGTTTTCCTGCAGTCAGTGAGACATAGATCTGAGTGTCGTCTGCATAGTTGTGATAGGATTCTTTATTTCTGCGTATTAACTGACCTAATGGCAGCATGTAGAGATTGAACGGAAGAGGTCCCAGAATCGACCCCTGTGGCACTCCACAGGTCAGAGCCACATGATCTGAGACACAGTTTCCAATCTCCACAAAGTACTTCCTGTCTTCAAGATAAGACCTAAACCAACTTAGAGCGGTGCCAGCGACACCAACCCAGTCCTCTAGTATCTGTAAGAGGATCTCATGGTCGACATTGTCAAAAGCTGCACTCGGATCTAACAAGATTAAGATTGAGACTTTGCCTTCGTCAGTGTTCAGCCGGATATAATTTGTTACCTTAATGAGAGCAGCCGGACTGAAACATGTCAAATGAGTTGTTGATTATAAGAAATCTAGTAAGCTGTAGGTAGACAACTTTTTCAAGGACTTTCCCCATAAATGGCAGATTTGAGATGGGATGATAGTTGTTAAGTACCATAGCATCTAGACTGCTTTTGTTTAGAAGGGGCCTGATGACTGCAGTTTTCAGGGCCTTTGGGAATATTCCAGAATTAAGGGACATGTTTACTATCTGTGTGAGTGAAGGTAACAGACTGCTCAGAACAGACTTTAGAAATCTAGTGGGTAGTACATCCAGGCTGCATGTGGAGGAGCTCAGACTGGAGATTATCTCTTGGACAGTTTGATCATTTACAGGTGCAAAGTAAGTTAGCTCAGAGAGCCTTTCTGGCTGTTGGATTGTTATCTGTGGATTGGAGACAATGGCGTTTTTGATGCCTTGAACCTTGTCATTGAAAAAATATGCAAACTCATTACATTTACGTTTGGAAGTAAGCTCTAATGGCATTTGAACAGGGGGGTTTGTTAATCTATTAACTGTTGAAAACAGAACACGCAGATTGTTGCTGCAGCCTTCAATAATTTCAGAAAAATAACTTTCTCTTGTACTGCGTAGCACCCGGTTAAACTCGCACAACTTATCTTTGAAGATCTTGTAATCAACCTGGAGGTTGGACTTGCGCCACTTCCTCTTGGCCCCCCGGCACTTTCTCTTCTGTGCCCTGACCAAGTCTGCTATAGCCCACGGTGTCTTCTGCTTATTTTTCACTACTTTAACCTTCACAGGGGCAACGATATCCAGAACATTCAAAACATTAGAGGTGACAGAGTTTAACAGTTTATCTACAGTAGAACATCATGCATTGTCAAAGTTTATCATTCCCATAAATAGTTCCTGTCACATTCCCGTATTCTCATTAATGCGTCTTTTTCGAACAACTGCAGCATCCACTGGTGGCTTGTTAGTGAAACACATGATCCAACTGAGCAGCATCAACTACGTTCACATTTGAAATAATCACCCCCTTAGCAACTAACAGGTCTAGAGTGTGCCCTCTACTGTGGGTGGGGCCACTCACGTGCTGAGTGAGACCAACGGATTCAAGAACAGAACTCCGCTCTTTTGCATTTCTGTCATTAACAGAGGGGCAACAGTAGCTCAGTTGGTAGAGCATTGGCCTTTGAGCCAGAAGAAATGTCCAAAGTAAATTATTGTCACAAATATTTTAGGCAAGGCAAGTCAAATTTATTTCTGAAGCACTGTTTAGAGACAGGGAAACTCAAAGCACTTAACAAACCAGATAATAGATAGATACAATGCCACGAAGCCTTGAAATAATAAATAATTAAAAGTACAACATAAAGAGTGAAGATAAAATCCCTCAGTTGTTGCCGCTAAACAGAACTGAGATTTGAACACTGTCCGGGGAGAAGCCTGTTTCACAATTTCAGTAAGATTGTTCCAGATTTTAGCTGCGTAATCCAAAACAATGTCTCCCCTTTTCTTTACATGCTTTCTGAGTGAGGAATCACATTAATTGAATTTCAGAGTGACAGACCCAGGTGATTTTTCTTACTTTTCAATACAACCATTTCTGCAGCATTTTCCAAGACTGCCCTGACATTTGGAGAAAGTCCAGCAGCGCACTGTGCCCTAGTTTGTAGTGAGATGTGATCCATGGGCCTCATAACCAGCCCTGCATGCTCCTCTATTCAATTATAACATTAACTGGTCATTAGCCTCATGTGATTCCAGACTCATCCTGCAATGGCATCAAACACATGGGCCGCCTCATACTTTCCATTCTACCACTGATCACTCCACACCAATATGATTTTTTCTGTTCATTTTGTCTCAATACTGAGACAGAGGTCTCAGTATTGTCAAATAAATTCTCCCCTAAATGGTTCAATACCTATGTTTTATATATTTCTCCAGTTTAAACAGTTTTATTTTCTGATCTATGTTGGCGATTTAAACAGTTTTGTTAAGTCATCTGAGATAACTATTGTTGTGATTTAGGGCTATACAAGAATAAATTGAATTGAAATGGAATTGAGTATACATGCATATCTATCTATCTATACAGACCTCTTTGTCTCAGTTTGCAAAGGTTGTACATGCAGTACATGCAGACCTTTGTCTCAGTATACTGTACATGCAGACCTCTCTCACAGTATACATACAGACTCACACCACTCATGTAAACAAAACAGAGCAGTGCTTCACATTTAGCCATGGTGCATGTCGAGGTTACATACTCTGAGATGAGCACACACCTGTGCATGAACCATGACCTGCAAACAGACGACATGGTTGCCTGAGATTGTTTGAAAGCTTTTGTGACTGACTTTGGTTGTATCCACCCTGTGCAGTTGGCCATTCCTCAATTGAATAAGATTGAAATAAAATACCACAGTGGGCACAAACCAAGGATTTATGTGACATAACAACATTCAAAAGAGCTTATAGTTTAACATTGTGAGGGAGGGCAGCTGAAACATCTTAGTGTCAGCTCTTACCTTCGTAACATTTAAAGTCAGACAGGTTTGTTTAGGGGCATTTTTCTGTAATTTCTTGGACAATACACATGAAACACATGTCTAGAAGTGGGGACAATAAAAAAAAAACAGGACCTTCAAACAGGAAAAAAAACAGGAAAGGACCTTCAAACATAAGAATAATATGGCGGTATTTATTAATATAATCACCATCAACAAATGATTGTCTTTTTAAAAATATATAAAAATAGTTGTATTGGTACCTGCCCAAAACACTGAAATACAATTCTCCTGCATGATTGTCACCTGTGGTAAAAAGAACAATGTCAATCAGGGCTGTCAAACTTTTTGTGGCACCAAAAAACTTTTTTTAGCCTTGCCTTATAAGTAAATCTAACATTTAATTAAATGTTAGATTTACAAAGGAAAATGTGGCAGCCTAGGGGTGGTGGTTATGTGATCTAAGTAGGAAATAAGTGAAATTCATTGACTTATAACAGGTAAAAATATGGAAGTAATTAAATAAACCAAGCAACGCCACAACCGGGATTTCACCGGAAGAGTGCTGTAACATAAAATAAGGACACACAGGTAAATATCGAAGGATTAGACCGCACCAGGTTCCAAGTTTAACAGGTTTACTTTACATTTATCAGAATCAGAATCAGAATCATTTTTATTGCCACGTAAGTAACAGGAGGTCACAGACTTGGAAATTGCTTTGGCTCAGTGCAACAGTCAAAAAGAGATAATAAAAATAAGAATAAAAAACACTTCTAAAGAATAAATTTAAATTTAAAATAGAGTTACAGTTACTATTTACAATATACAAGTGCACATGGTGCACACAATGTAAGGTGACAGCAGTACAGTGAAGTAAAGTGACGTATGATGGGCAGTAAAGTGACTTTATAAAGGGCGGGGGGACAGGTTAAGAAGTGTTCAAGAGTCCAACAGCAAAGGGGAAGAAACTGTTCTTGTGGCGGGAGGTTCTAGTCCTGATGGACCGCAGCCTCCTGCCTGAGGGGAGTGGTTGGAATAGTCCATGTGCAGGGTGAGAGGGGTCGGCTGTGATACGACCAGCCCGGCCTCGAGCTCGGGCGACGTACAGGTCCTGCAGCGATGAAAGGCTGCGGCCGATCACTTCCTCTGCAGAGCGCACAATGCGCTGTAGTCTCTGTTTGTCCCTGACTGTGGCTCCAGCGAACCACACGGTGATGGAGGAGGTGAGGATGGACTCGATGATGGCCGTGTAGAACTGCACCAACATCTGTGCAGGCAGCTTGGCTTTCCTGAGCTGCCGCAGGAAGTACATCCTCTGCTGGGCCTTCTTGATGAGGGAGCTGATGGTCGGCTCCCACTTGAGGTCCTGGGTGATGGTGGTGCCCAGGAAATGGAAGGACTCCACAGAGGTGATGGGGGAGTCCATCACGGAGGGTGGGGGCGGGGGCGGGGGGACAGTGCTCTTCCTGAAGTCCACAATCATCTCCACTGTCTTCTGGGCGTTCAGCTCCAGGTTGTTACCACTGCACCAGGACACCAGCCGGTCCACCTCCCTCCTGTAGGCGGTCATATTCTTTAGCTTTGCAGACATGTCTACTATCGATATTTTAGTGTTTTTGAGCTTGGTCAAGTCGGACAGCACCATCTCCCTCAGCCTCTTCATTCACCTCATATTCCTCAGCATCTTCTCCTTCTCCATCTTCAACAACACTTTCACAGCTGTTACCATTTGCTAATTGTCTTTGTCTGGTACCTTTCTTCATCATTCCCACTAACATCATCCTCAGATGGTAGTTCCTGGACTGTCCTGTAGGCTTTTCTATTATGCTCTGCCCCTGGCCGCTACAAAACACATGGAAAAGGATCATTATTCTCATGATATGCCTAATATTCACAAGATATAATATATATAAACCATCCATCCATTTTCTACCCTTTAATCCATTTCTGGGTCATGGGGGTGGCAATCAGAGATGCCACCCAAGTCTCATAGCACCAGCCCCTCACTGACCCTCTGCAGGTGGTGAGTCCACAGGAGGACGGCTGCTCTCTAAGCGGCCTTGATCTTACAGTGGGGGCTTTTTGGGCAAAGTAGGGTTAAGTGTCTTGCCCAAGGACACAACGACAGCAGTCATCAGTGGGAGTCGGTGGAGAAGGTGTAGAGGTGGGAATTGAACCCACAACCTTCAGGCCTTAAGGCCAATGCTCTACCAACTGAGCTACTGTCGTGTGTGTATATATATATATATATATATATATATATATATATATATATATATATATATATATTATATATATAACAATGTAATTTATTTGCAGCCAAAACTTCCAGAAACAACAAAGTTCCAGCAACATTATGCTTTGTAATCAAAATATAGCTAGTGATTCACAACGTCCACTTTAGTGGACACATGATTCATTACAATTTCCTCAAAACAGAAATCAATACTTGGGTTTTTCAACAATTATACGCCTCCTTAGATGTTACTTGACGGCCACATATTTTTTTTACCTGCTAAACTTTCCTAGATTATAATGTATGAACAGATTTTCCTCCTCCACTAAGCACATTTTTGTCAGCCATCTTTTTTTGAGAGTTTTTTTTTTTAACATTTGTATATTTACCTGGATGTAGCAGTGCATATGACAAGACACACCAGGGTCCACTATAGTGACTTAAGTGCAACTGTGACTTTAAAACTCACACATATGGAAGATAACAACTATTGAATAGCTGTCCACTGTAGTGACCACTATGCATGAAGGGGTTAAGTAAGTAAGTAAGTAATGTTTATTCATATACCACTTTTCACAGACCAGAGTCACAAAGCGGTTTACAATTGTTATTTTTGGGCATTTGTCCTCTCACAGAGATGGGAGTGGGGTCACCAGTACAGGAGGCGCATGCCAGAACTACAGTGCCTTGCGAAAGTATTCTTGAACCTTTCAACATTTCGCCACATTTCAGGCTTCAAACATAAAGATATAAAATTTAAATTTTTTGTCATGAATCAACAACAAGTGGAACACAATCGTGAAGTGGAACGAAATTTATTGGATAATTTAAACTTTTTTTACAAATCAAAAACTGGGTCGTGCAATATTATTCGGCCCCTTTACTTTCAGTGCAGCAAACTCACTCCAGAAGTTCAGTGAGGATCTTTGAATGATCCAATGTTGTCCTAAATGACTGATGATGATAAATAGAATGCACCTGTGTGTAATCAAGTCTCCGTATAAATGCACCTGCTCTTTGATAGTCTCAGGGTTCTGTTTAAAGCGCAGAGAGAACCATGAAGACAAAGGAACACACCAGGCTGGTCCGAGATACTGTTGTGGAGAAGTTTAAAGCCGGATTTGGATACAAAAAGATTTCCCAAGCTTTAAACATCTCAAGGAGCACTGTGCAAGCAATTATATTGAAATGGAAGGAGTATCAGACCACTGCAAATCTACCAAGACCCGGCCGTCCCTCCAAACTTTCATCTCAAACAAGGAGAAGACTGATCAGAGATGCAGAAAAAGAGGCCCATGATCACTCTGGATGAACTGCAGATAACTACAGCTGAGGTGGGAGAGTCTGTCCATAGGACAACAATCAGTCGTGCACTGCACAAATCTGGCCTTTATGGAAGAGTGGCAAGAAGAAAGCCATTTCTCAAAGATATCCATAAAAAGTCTTGTTTAAAGTTTGCCACAAGCCACCTGGGAGACACACCAAACATGTGGAAGAAGGTGCTCCGGTCAGATGAAACCAAAATCGAACTTTTTGGCCACAATGCAAAACGATATGTTTGGCGTAAAAGCAACACAGCTCATCACCCTGAACACACCATCCCCACTGTCAAACATGGTGGTGGCAGCATCATGGTTTGGGCCTGCTTTTCTTCAGCAGGGACAGGGAAGATGGCTAAAATTGATGGGAAGATGGATGGAGCAAATACAGGACCATTCTGGAAGAAAACCTGTTGGAGTCTGCAAAAGACCTGAGACTGGGACAGAGATTTATCTTCCAACAGGACAATGATCCAAAACATAAAGCCAAATCTACAATGGAATGGTTCATAGCCGTATCTAGGTGTTAGAGTTAGAGTCCAGACCTGAATCCAATTGAGAATCTGTGGAAAGAGCTGAAGACTGCTGTTCACAAACGCTCTGCATCCAACCTCACTGAGCTCGAGCTGTTTTGCAAGGAAGAATGGGCAAGAATTCCAGTCTCTCGATGTGCAAAACTGATAGAGACATACCCCAAGCGACTTGCAGCTGTAATTGCAGCAAAAGGTGGCGCTACAAAGTATTAGCGCAAGGGGGCCGAATAATATTGCACGCCCCACTTTTCAGTTTTTTATTTGTTAAAAAAGTTTAAATTATCCAATAAATTTCGTTCCACTTCACGATTGTGTCCCACTTGTTGTTGATTCTTGACAAAACATGTAATTTTTATATCTTTATGTTTGAAGCCTGAAATGTTGAAAGGTTCAATACTTTCGCAAGGCACTGTATTGTACATGGTTCAAGACTACAAGACATAAAAAAAGCTTACAGGCCTGTTATTATAGTTTACAATGGGCGAATTTTTGAAAAAATACACATTTTATCTAGAAAAAGCCATCATAGATAATGACCTCTAAGTGATTTTACATTCATCCTTTATTTTTGTGATTTGCATAACTAGGAAAACCAAACTGGGAAACCATCATGTTGGAAAAACTGAGTGGCTCGACCCCATATATTTGTACTAGCCTGTTCAGACCGTAAGATCGCTGAAGTAGATGCTTTGGTCGATGCCACATTCCTTGATATCTACTTCTTGCATCCTTTTCCAGATTGCGCAAAAGAAGGAATGAATACTATTTTATGTATACACTGTGTGTATGTTAGCTAGTTCTGGTGAGAAACGCCGACATGAGCTGACCACATCCGGTCCCTGTCTATCGCCGGTGATTCACGCTAAACTTGGAGGTTGTTTTTCAAACGGACGGTTTGAAATAGCAATATTTCAAAACATCAACAATTGTCTTCAAACTTATTTCAACTGAGGTAGAATTCAACATTTATTGAGAGAATGGTTGTAAAATAGTGTGGAATAGTCTTATATGATGTGTTTTTTTACATTGATTTGACATGGGGGCCTAGTGCTTTTTCACAGAAACAGACACTCGCTCACACACAATGACACGTGCACACACTTGTCAATCCGAGGAGCTTAAACTAGAGGTGTGTGTGCTGTGCTTGAGGCATTTAGTTGACACCAGAAACTACCTCCATGAAGTACCGGCGATAGACTGATAGACCAGGATATGGCTGCAGTCTATTATTCGCTACTTATATATATATTTTGTTTTGTTGATATGCATTTTTATTTTAGTTAATATGCACTGTTGAAGGATAATTTCTGTAAAGAAACACTGTTGTTGCAACTGTTTTGTGCAAGCGCATAATAAAGTTAATGTTGCATTGTATCAATGTGTTGTTTTTTTAGCTGTATATTAAAGATAAAATATGGGATATTTTAAATATATTTTGATATATACTATAAGTTAACTGAGAATTTTCTGTAAGTTAACTGCAAGTATGCTAGGAATATACTTGAAGTTTCATTGAAAGGTATTAGTCAATTATGAATTGAATACCCAAATATACAAAATCCAATACACCTGAAGTATAATAAGTGTACTTAAAGTTGTTCCATTTTAGTACACAATAATATATTAAGTATACTTTCAATTTAAATTCAACTTAAATGTGTTGAGCACAAAACAAGTTGTTTCAATATAGCACACTTAAAGTTTATTTTACTATTATTTCTGAAATATATTTAGTATGCTAAATTTTAGTATACTAAGTATATATTTTTTTTCACCGGGTATGCTGGCAGTAGATTTCATCATTATTTTACATAATGGTTTTCAGATATTATAATCTAATCTAAGATATGTCAATCGTAAATGTTGTATTGTTGAAGATCAATGGAATGATTTTTGAGAGAATCTGTTACCCTGAGCACCAGCAGAGGGCGCAGATGAACTGAATTTGTCCGCCTCTATTTGAACTGAAAATTTGTGGAACATGAGTTGTGGAACAGGAGGGTACATTGTGATTCAATTGGATTTTAGCTGAGATTTTGAAGTAGTGAAAGAATGACTATCACAGTTGTCTAACGGCATAACAGCAGCTTGTACTTAAGAGTCACAGCTTCCTACTGTGACATCTGGTATTTTAACAGTGTCCTATCACAGCATTGACCTGGGTTGGGCATACTTAGCTAAATATATCTGACTAGTTACCAGTGTGGGGGGAGGATTTTATCGTGTAGGATGAAGACTGAGGCAGATCTTAAAAGAACAAATCAATAAGCTCAGAAACACTGACAGTTGTGGTCTTAGACCCCAACCACAATTTTATCAATGCATGGATTTGCAACAAGACGCATAAGGAAAAGTGCCGCATGAGACTCAATGAGATTCAATTTGTCTTTGAAAATAATCTTACAGTATTCTATTGTATATTACCTTCATGGAGTAAGCTGCACCCCGTCCTCAGCAGGGGCAGCTCTCAGAGTTTGGTTAAAGCTGCACTCGTTGATGAGCGCATCTACGGACAACGCTCTAACCAAGGTCTGCATCTGTCCCCACAGCACCCACAGGAACAGCCTGGAGCACACTCATTTATCACCACTGAAGGTCGAGGCAGAGAGGGAGGGGTGCGGCGGCAGCTGGGGGATTTCTACTGAACTGGTACTTGTATCATCTGGAGCTGGAGATGTTTTGGATTTTAATTTAGCCCTGAAAGGTATAAATATTATTAAAAGACAATGGGAGGTAATTGTTCCCTGGATTTTGCTGCATTTGAAGAGGTTTCAGTTTTTTTTTACAACCCCCACCTGAGCTTCTTTGTAATAATGGAGTGCAGACAGCATGTTTACATGTTTGATAATCATATCACAGTAATCACGAGGCAGTCATGTCTTGTGGACTCGATCACGTGTCTCGTCCTCTGGCTTTAACACCCTCTCTGACATTTGGGAAAAGGAATAATTTGGACAGATTATCCATCCATTTTCTACCCTTTAATCCATTTCTGGGTCAGGGGGGTGGCAATCAGAGATGCCACCCAAGTCTCATAGCACCAGCGCCTCACTGACCCTCTGCAGGTGGTGAGTCCACAGGAGGACAGCTGCTCTCTGAGTGTGAGAATAGCCTTGAACTTTCAGCGGGGGCTTTGGGCAAAGTGGGGTTAAGTGTCTTGCCCAAGGACACAACGACAGTAGACATCAGTGGGAGTCGGTGGAGAAGGTGTAGAGGTGGGAATTGAACCCACGACCTTCAGGCCTCAAGGCCAATGCTCTACCAACTGAGCTACTGTCACCCTTTGGACAGATTAATCAAACTATAATCATTATTCTGCAAAGGCAGTCCACCAACAGTCATTTATTGGCCCTGAGGATTTAGGCATTAGTTTCACTGCACTGAGTTTCCTCACAAAATTTAACCTGTGAAAATATATATAACATATACTGTAAATGTCAGTTATATTAACAGGCGTTACCATAGCAACACATGATCAGGTGGACTGAAGTTTTGCTGGTCTGCTCTGTGGACTCTGAGGAGATCGTACCTCCTCGCTCTCAGTTTGGCGATGTTGTCTATGATCTTGGTCATTGGTCCATACACTTTTTCCAATTCTCTTTGCACCATAAACAATCAACATTGAAGTGGTACAGGTTGACTCCTAGACAGGTATCTAAGAGTCCACCTGCACCACAGACTGGACTGGTCAGCTCAGGCCAATGCTGTCTTTAAGAAAGTTCAGAGCAGACTCTTCTTCCTGAGAAGACTAAGGTCCTTTGATGTGAGCAGTCAGATGTTGCACATATTTTACCAGTCTGTTGTAGCTAGTGCTGTGTTCTTTGGGGTTGCATGTTGGGGCGGAAGTCTGACCTTGAGAGACAGTAACCGGCTCGACAAGCTGATCAGGAAATGTGTAATAGGGAGTAGTATGGACTCTGTGGGAGCTGTGCTGGAGAGAAGGATGAGGGCTCTAATGCAGGGCATCCTGGGTAACTCCAGACACCCACTGCATGACACTATGGCCGCTCAGAGGAGTAATCGTAGCAACAGGCTACGATTACTGTACGGAACATTATAAGAGATCCTTTGTTCCTTTGGCTTTCAGACTGTACAAAAGACCTGGATGAGACTTCTGCTGCTGGACACCTGAATTTCTCCAACAGGGGATCAATAAAGTATGTATCTTTCTATCTATCTAAACTAACACCCTTGATATTTGCAAATCTTCACCTTGGCTTCACTACAATGAGAAGAAATGATCTGGACATTGCAGTTTGAGTTGAGAATTGTCTTCCTCCATGCTTCAGAAGCTTTATTATTGATCCTTCCATCTTACCACATGTTTTGGTTATGACCACACCGGGTACTCTCTTTATTTCTATAATAAATCAACATGAAAACAAGGGACAAAGTACTTGAAGGCACAAGCACCTGTGAACTGAATGCCCCTGGCCTTGTGGGCTCCTTTTCCCTTCCCTGCCTGGGATTCTCTTCAGTCCAGGATCTACAGCCTAGACCTGGGCATGTGACAGCAATCCACTCGGTACGGTTCAGACCGTTGACAGCAGGACCCAGCCTCCCTGACTCCTGTCATGGTAATGAATGTGATTGACAGGATTCTGGTCATTTTCCAATTTGTATCCAGAACTCCACAACCGCTCATGGTAGGCGTTTATATTGCTTTAGGGTTATTATTACATGAAGATAGAAACATCTCAATAACAATAAGTTACACTGGAAAAATTGGTCGACATGTCACTGTTAGCCAGCAATACAAATATCAATAAATTAAGATTAAAGCGATAATTTGTTAATAATAAATGGATAATTCATTGATCCTCGTGGAATTTTTTTTTGAAAAAGTGTCCAGTGGCAGCGAAAACACATTCACACAAGCAAAACAAATACATTGATCATTCTTAAAAGCTAACAATAGTTATAATAAGCAACAGCAGGTCCCAGTGGCAGAGATGGTGCAGCAGCTGGGTGGAGCAGGACAGGTCACAGCAGTAGAGGTGGAGTAGCCGCTTGGTTCGGACCATTTTCTCTGCTCTGGTCCAAAGTAAAAGGCTGATTATTTTTCATAAAGTCAGCCTTCCCCCAGTGGATTTTCGCCTGATCCGCTTGGTTCGGACCATGAATCCTCTCCGCTTTAACAATTGTAAAGCACAAAAACAACATCTGTTTCAGACCTACTTAGGACTTGCTGCCGTTTCCAGCACATTTAAAAGTAAACGTCATTGACTAGAGAAATTTCCAAAACATCTAATTTTAAAGTCTGAAAGCTCTTTATTAGCTCTGTCCAAAAAATATGAAAATTCGAAGTAATAGTCCCCAGCCCATAATGTATATACAATCTGATTCAGGTAGCCCACTCCAACCCCTATTCATCTTCTTCCTGCACTGTGCACTTCACCAAAAGAAAGTGCTTGAATGGGCATATACTGCATTTATTGTACATAAAAACAACCTGAATTGTCACCTTTTCAGCTGTCAGCTCAAACTGCAGTGCAAGGAAGAGTCAAGAGCTTTTCAATGGACACACATTTGAATAGCAGCTGCATTTGGGTCAGGACTATTTCTGTGGCGTTAGAATGCTTTGTATGACGCACAGCCACCACATAATACATAGACGCAAGTTTGTGAATTTGGGCGATGGAAATGTGGCGAGAATGTACTTTTCAGAGATGCAGCGGCCAAGTATTCAAATGTGTGAGTTTATACTTTATAATACCTGTGTGGGACTGTATTTACTGTACAGGGGTAAAGAGAGTGCCTGAATGCATTTCAGTACAAAGACAAAAACATCAGGATTTTCCCCAAAAATATTTTTTGTACAAAGCAACCCTAGCAGTTCAAGTTTACAGTTCTTGTGAAAGTCATTATTAAGTGACTGATTGTACAGTCTGAAAACGCTGAGGATGACGGCCCTAACCCTAACCCAGCTCTCTCAGGTCCTCAGCTACATCTACAACCTGAGCCTCAGCCTGGAGAAGGCCCTGTCCTGTGGAAGACCTCCTGTGTGAAAATAGCGCACGCCAAGGAACTGGCTTGCTACAGACCAGTCTCACTGACCTCCCACCTGATGAAGACCATGGAGCGGCTCATCCTCATCTCCGCTCCGTGGTCCGCCCCACCCTGGACCCGCTGCAGTTCGCCAACAGGCCCAACATCGGGGAAGAGGACGCTGTCATCTACGTCCTGCAGTGGACGCTCTCCCACCTAGAGCCCGCCGGGAGCGCTGTGAGGGTCATGTTCTTTGACTCCTCCAGCGCTTTCAACGCTCTCATGACCGGCACTGCTGCGGGGGAAGATGGAGGACACGGGATTGGACAGTAACCTCACTGCATGGACCATCAACTACCTCTCAAACCGACCACAGTACGTGCGGCTGCGCAGCTGTGAGTCTGAGGTGGTAGTCTGCAGCACTGGGGCACTGTTCTCTCACCGTTTCTTTTCACCATCTACACTTCAGACTTCACATACGACACACACAACTGCCAGCCGCAGAAGTTCTCCCACGACTCCGCCATCATGGGCTGTGTGTCTGAGGGGAACGAACTGGAATACCGGTCGGCTATCACGGACTTTGTCAACTGGTGTGAGCGCAACCACTTGTGCTTGAACACCAGTAAGACCAAGGAGATGGTAATTGACTTCAGGAAAACTACTACCCCACACGCTGCTGAACATTCAGGGGGAGGACATTGAGCTGGTGGACAGCTTCAAGTAACTGGGTGTTCACATTAACAATAAAGTGGACTGGTCCCATAACACCTACGCCCTGTACAAGAAGGGCCAAAGTCGCCTCCCCCTTCTGAGGAGGCTGCGGTCCTTCAGGACTTTTTATGACTCTGTGGTAGCCTCTGCCATACACTACGCTGCCGTGTGCTGGGCGTCAGGCAGCACAGAGCGGGACAGGAATAGACTCAACAAGCTGGTCAGGAAGGCCAGCTCCACTCTGGGCTGCCCCCTGGACTCTGTGGAGGAGGTGAGGGACAGGAGGGTGCTAATCAAAGTCACCTCCATCATGGACAACACCTCCCACCCACTGCGCAGGACTGTAGAGGAGCTGAGCTCTCTCAGTGGAACACAAGTCCCTCAGTGCAAGAAGGAGCGGTACCGCAGGACCTTTATCCCCACCGCTGTCAGACTGTACAAATAGTCACTTTATGGCACTTGCACTAGGACTGAAAAGAAAGGAAAAAAACCCTGCACTACTATTGCCACTGTTTCTTAATTGCCACTTTTATTGCACATAATAGATCCTGCATTTAACATGTTTGCACACCTCTTTCTTTCTTTTTTCTTCTTGAGTGATTCTATCCATGCCAGATGTGACATGCAAATTTCTCCTCTGTGAGATCAATTAAGTCTATCTTAACTTATCTTATCTTACTGCTCAATTTCACAAGTGTTGGCTTCTTTATCTCACAATTTACACACCAGGGCCGGGTGACATAAATCAGACAATATTATATCCTCATTCTGCAAGCTTCACTCCTAACAGTGTTTTCTCCAGTTTTGCAAAACATTTTTCACTCAGGGTGTCAGCCATCTTTGTTTAGAAAGTGATATTTACACAGATGTAATTTCAGAAAAAAGGTACGATCTTAGCCTAAAGGACCAAACACACAATTTTTCAAGATGATGAGGAACCTTTAGCTTGAATAAAGACGCTTGATAACAAGTGAGAGTCCTCCTGTAACATCCATCTGAAGCTTGTGTTGAAGAAAGACGCAGGACACTGTCTATTTTTGAGTTATTTATTGGCTTATGCTTTTGTATCTAATACATTAGAAAAAGTGGTCGATAGTACATTCTGTCGCAGAAGTGTCTGAGGTACAAAAATACATCTTGGGAACAGCTCTTACATTCACAGAAATCAAAGGCTTCAGATGGCCGTCGTTATTGTGCTTATTAGGTGGAATTGTGCCTTCAGGCCTTTACCATATAAATGTATCTTTCGAAGTTAGGGGAAACTGCTTTTCACTGTTGTTTGGCATTTTTTCCGCAAGCTGAATTTGGGACAATGTGGCGCAATGTCAAAAGCTTGTATGTATTTTGTGTTGATAATTTGTTTGCAACACACCTCTCTGCAAACACAATCTTACACTCATTCACCCTGAACTACTTTATATAGATGCTTTTATTGGAGCATGCAAACTATATACACACACATAAAAGGCCCCGGCTGGAGGTGGAATCAAACCCAGGACATTCTTGCTGTAAAACACAAGCGCCAACCACTGTGCCACCATTTGCCGTGAAGCACATGAGGCACGGCCCTTCTTATGGTTGGCACTATGTGGAGGGGTGAGGGTGAACTGAGGGGGAGGTCCTAAACCTACACACAAGTCCTACTAGGCGATACTTAATGGCAGCGTAACGAGCTGTGGAGCTGTGATTGGAGTAAAGCTCTCATCGTCAGAGTTTGGGCTGTTGCACAAGCTGCTCTTTCTTTGGAACGTTGTCCTTAATAAAAAAAAATGTTATAGAATATAGAGTATTTTTTACTCTATGTAGAAGAGAAACTTGCTGTGTGGTCCATTCTAATGCAACTTCCTCTGGTTCTCGGTACTCCGCTCCGA